AGAGTAGAGAGAAGAGAGAGAGAGAGAGGAAGGAAATTAACCTGCCATCTTCATTGAAAGATACCCAGAGGATGGGAGGAGGTATGGACTGGCTCTCTATAATTCACAATTGAAGCAGAAAAAAAAAACTTTTTTAATGGTATCAGTGGCTTACTAATGCACTTGCAGAGCAAAATCCTATGTTACTGTTTATCCACTGTCTAAATGATGAATTAAATCTGTAACCTTTTCTCTCAAGATTTTCCGAAAGAGAGGCCCAAGAGAGAAAACAGGAGCGTATATTGGAGATAGAGGCTAGAGAGAGAATGGGAGAGCAGGCTCATTTTTTTATCTAAAAGCACATTGAAGAAACCTATTGGTTGTTACGTGAGAAAAAAATATTAGTGGGGTTTTTGGTGAGGCTGCTAACTCATCGAGGGTATTTTGCGGAGTAACTTTATACAAGGAGGATAGCAACATTTTTCCTTCTTTTTATTGTATTTTTCCATGGTCATGATCTTGGAATTCCACCAACCTTGACAAAGTTCAGATTTTTTTCTTGGTTGGATACCACTTGTTATTTCCATTTCATGATAAAAATCTGCGGATGTTATTGGTGATTTTGAACACTTGATAACATACATCTGTGAGTTGACTTTGTTGTTGCAGAGCATAGGCATGTGGGATCGAATAATTTTAATTTGCTCAGCAGTCGGAGCCATACGATTTTTACCTTGGTAACTTGACCCACATTACTATGAGTTTGTGCCAACTACTTCTCTGATTTGCACTAGTATGCTGACCATATTTATCACTTGGTGATTGCTACTTTATAGTTTTGAGTTGCAATCTATTATTTTGGTAGATGAAAGTTCAAAGCCTTATGTCGTTCCACAGAGTCATTTTATGTAGTGCAGCAAGGGTTACATTATAGTTACCTGAAGCAATGGGGAAACCAAATCAATTTAGGAATTGGAAGCGTGGAAGCGTGAAATTGCTGCTGGTTGGAAGATTCCTAGTTTCGGAATCAACGTCCATACAAGAGAAATTGTGGAGGATGAGATTCCTGTTTTTAGGAATCGAGATTCGACCAAAATAGAATTGAGATCCCTGCATAGATTGAATCAAGATTCCTAGCTCTTTGGAATTAAGTTTCCGACCCAGTTGGAATCGATCAATATGGAATCAAGATTCCGACATCTTTGGGATTGAAAGAGAACTGAGAAGGAAACAATACATCCTTTGACTAAATAATAGTACACGCCGTCGTTTGCGGTTTTGCTCAATATGACCTTTTGGACTTTTGCATTCTTTTCTCACCTTTCCAAAATGGAAAATATCCCATCAAAGACTATGCACTAACTCATGAGTAATACTATTTTCTCGCGTGTCCTTTACTAATACTAAATAGTTTTATGAAATGGTTGTTCTGTTCTAGCTTATTGTGAGTGGGGCCTCTTCCACTTCCCTCCTTATTCGGAAAACCCCTTAAATGCTTCCAATGCTCCAACAAATAAAACATGCTTTACCCTTATTACCATATTAACCTACTAAGCAACAAAGTTGGAACACTCTCCAAACTCAGCCTAATATATCATGAGTAAAATAGATCGACTGAGAATTATTTACTGAATACTTGCAGTTCCTTTGATGTGACTGTTCATAAAGTTGCTGGAAAAGAGTCACATGTCATTGCTTTAGTTCCCTTTGATTACCTGCTTTTTGAATTGAATAAAACATAGTTCTTAATGTTGCAGTAATATAGCTCTGTTTCTTTCAGACTATAGAAAGTAGTGCACGGGATGATCAGGGAGAAGAGGATGTCACACTATCTCAGTTGGTAATGAATGTTTTTCTGTGTATATCTTTCAAGAATACGCCTACGAGCTTGTTATACATCTTATAGTTTTACCTGCCTTCAACTTCATTTATTATGTATAAGTCTAGGAGAAACTTATATGAGGTTCCTGCGAGTCTCTTAGTACTGACAATGTATGTTCCTAGATGGTTTTACTGCTCTTCATGAAGCATTCTAATTATTGACCCTTGCTCACTTCATTTTCATTTGCAGAACTTGATTGATCTTGCAGGATCTGAAAGTTCAAAGACAGAAACAACTGGGTTACGAAGGAAAGAGGGCTCTTACATAAATAAAAGCCTGCTCACACTTGGGACTGTAAGCTACATGACTTCACCTTTTAAAGTTCTTCTATGTATTTTTATTTGCAGTACTTATGTCTGATTTTCATCTGTTACATATTGTGAATCATTTTCATTTGTAGCCAATTTTACATTAGCTGTTCTCTTCCTTTCATCATTCACGCTTTTGAAATTAAGATGCGTATGTTATTCAACTGATGCTGTAGAATTTCAATTTTGTTTGTCGTGGAGGCATTCTCGTGAATGACTTCAGTTTGCACAATTTTACATCTTGCGAGGGCGTCTCAATTGCTTTATTGAGGTCTCCATATATTAAATTCATGATCTCGTAGTGATGTTGTATTAGATTTCAAACTAGTAGCCATCTACTGCTCGTAGGTGTTAATGGTATGTAGTAAAGCTGGTTCCAGCAATGTATTTTGCCTTAGCATGAAAAAAGGTGGAAAATTGGTTTCTTTGTCGAAGGGATACTCTATGCTAAACCGTGGTAGATGCATAAATGGAAATCAATTTATTTTAGGTTTTCACATCACCTATTTTGATTGAGCTGGCTTTCACCTCTGTGGTTTGTTGTTCTTTGGGATATGAGGACTTCATATGAGTGGAAATGTATGTGCTTTGGCCAAGGCTGATTCCAATTGGGTTTAAAGTTCTCGACTAGAAAAGGGTGTTTCTCTCTTTGGAACCTGTGCTAGTGACTTGCTGAATGTTGGACCTTGGTACACACCCTTTTGCGGAGGATAACCCAACAGAATTGGAGGACATCCATAGACCCTGCAGTAGCGGATCAATGTAATTTTCATTACTCTTAAGGACCTTGTGACTCCTTCAAGGGAGTTGGTTCAAAGAGATACATTCAGCACAGGGAGTCAAGAGATGCATTCAGCATAGGGGCAGATGGGCTACTTTTATGATTTACTTTTCCATTGCGTTGTAACTTGTTCTATACATCTGTTTTGTTTACTTGTTAGCTTTCAAACTACGTATTGACCTTTATTGGTGTAATATACCTGTTAATTTCCATTGATATATGCAGTGATTTGAATCTTTGGTGGGTACCTAAAATGTGTGAGAAAGGCTACGTTCTAAATCAACTTCTTTTGCACTATTGAAAGAGTACAGTTTTGCCTCATAACCTAGAATATTGAATTACGACATATGGACTATGAAGCTATTATTGGCTTGAGAAGGTTCTCCGGATCATCTCATGCCATCAATAGCTATGATAAAGGTGGAATGTATCATTTTGTGTTTTCTAACCGCATTTAAGGCATTTCTGTGGATTGCATTGTCTCTTTGGAATAATATTTTACTGGTGCACATTTATTCACTGTTTGAGTCTTACCTAAAAAAGATGCATGAGTACTCCTGCTGGATCAATTACCTTATTTAATGCGTTGCATACAAGCCCCACTCTCAACCCATCAGCCTCCTTATCCTTCTCTGAATTCGGCTGCCTCACTGTGAAACTTCTCAAATCTATCCCTTGGGACTTCTTCCAGAGTACCGCTAAAAATGGCTGTTCATGGGCAGACTGGGCAATAATGAGCTCTCCAAGTCAGATCTCGTCATTTGATTTGGAGGCTTGATGGATCTCTGAGATTTTGGAGAGGTCTCCAATATCACAGTGCTGCTCAAACACATCTGAAGAGAGAAGCAAATGCTCAAGAGAGAAAAGCAAATGCTCAAGCTGATAACGATCCGATAAAGAATCAAACTTATTCAAACGTTCCTGCTATTCTATATTTCCTTGAAAAAGGATCTCAGCCTACAGTAACTGTTCATGATATTTCAAAGAAGGCGGACGTATGTAAAAATATAGAAATCGAAGGAACCATGGCCAGCTCACTTGCTATTAGCCTAGAGAATGTAGGACCCCTTTAATCTTGTCCTTAATAGAAGTTTTGTGTAGCCATTTTTGTTTGTGGAATTTTTGTGCAATTGTGCCACACTCCTATTTGTTTTTTTCCATACTGAGCATAGTTTCTGTAAGTTCCTATATTGGCAGTAATACAATTTCTGTAAATTTATACCATTAGTGAGAAAAAACACTACGTCAACGATAAAAAAAGGATTCTTACCTATAATTGAGTAGTGTAGCGGTGGAACTAGAACTCTAGTAGACTAGGAGACATCTAAGATGTCGTTAGTTTCATATCTCTGAGATTGAATTCATTTCTATTTACACATTGTTTTTAGTTCGTAGTTGGTTGACTTCAATGTTTGAAACCTTAACCTCATTGATGCAACCCAGGTAATACCACCGGGCAACATATACTGGAATTTGTTGATGAATTCCCCATTCATGAATCTGCTCTTAAGGGGGTGACTATGTAATAGAAGTGGGATAGTTGGCCATCCCTTTTTATCCTAGAAAATGTATGGATCTTGTAGTAAGCAATGGCATGCGTGTCTTTATTGATGTCCTTGCTGATATTATTTCGTTCTTAGTAATAACAAATGTGATAGTATAATTTGTTGATGTTGACATGTGCAATGTAGAGTTCACAATATGAAGAAATCATTTTCTTCAACAAAATTCAGATGTGTTAGCGTACATAGGTAATAATTACAAGATGGCTTCCATTCTTGTAAATGATCACATTTGGCTGACGTTATTTACATCTGCTGAATCAATTTTCCCTTGCCTGTTTTTTGGACTTTGTGTTACTGCTGAACAATCGGTAGATTTAATTTTATGATTTTATGTTTCTGTTATATATCAAACTCATTTGTTACCTATCATATAGAATTCCATAGCCTAATATGAAATATTTGCAGGTAATTGCTAAACTAACTGATGGTAAGGCGACACATATACCATACAGAGATTCAAAACTAACACGCTTGCTGCAATCCTCTTTGAGTGGACATGGTCGAGTGTCAGTGAGTATTGGAAGTTTTATCTTTATCCACTTTGGTAATATCATATCATGTATATTTTAAACTAGCTCCTGGCATTCTGAGTCCCTTCTTTTACTTGGTCAGAAGCCTTGAAATCTTAAAGTTCTTTAATTAAATTATGGGTGTTATGGTTTAGATGTTTCCTGAAAATTTCCTCCTTTGTGCAGCTAATTTGTACACTAACACCTGCTTCTAGCAATAGCGAGGAGACGCACAATACATTGAAATTTGCACATCGAAGCAAGCATGTTGAAATAAAAGCTTCACAAAATAAGGTAAGGATGTTTCTTCAAGAAAAGGTTGATCTCTGAGATTTTCAGTATTCTTGTAACGATTTTGTCCATGGATGCATTTTAATATTAGAACCAAATCCCGGTTCCAGATAATGGATGAGAAGTCTTTGATAAAGAAGTATCAGAAGGAGATTTCCAGCTTAAAACAAGAGCTTCAGCAGCTGAAGAGGGGCATAATTGATAAGCCATATTTGACTGCATCTAGCCAGGAGGATCTTGTCAATCTGAAGCTTCAGGTATGCATTATCAACCATCTCTTTTTATGCTTCCTTCATCATAGAACTCGGACAATTTCTTATGCTGTTTTGCTGTATAAAAGATTATTTGTGATGATTGTACTTATGGTTCTTACGATGCAGATTGTCCAATCAGTTTGAAATTTAACAAGATATTCATCTAATTTAAGTATCTACAAGTCCCATAAGGTTGGAGGAATGAAAATTTAACAGATCAGAACTGAATTAGTAATGCGCTTGAATTGGCTGCTGAAGCGGTTGCTCTAGGACAGATCTGACAATCCACTTTGTATTGTTTCACTGTTTTATTTTTATTTTATTTTTATTTTATTTTTCTCTTGTTTGATAATTGCAATTTAGTAATAACAAAATCCAGACATACTTTTGTATTTCATAAAGAAAATGGAGTCTAAGAGGAAGATAGACCTACTCAATAATTGTGCGGTGCATCACACATATTTTGCAAGAAATGATGATTACTTGTAATATTTGATTCTTTGGTCAAAGCCTTTAACTCGATCTCCTACTTGGTCACTGCCTGAGTGAAGTCACCAAGTCAAACAGATAACCCAGTTCAACTTGTCAAGACATGTGGCCGTGATTTATGCAGACCCCTTGTCACACGTTTGAAGCTCAATCCTACCACATTAGATGATACCATTGGTATGTCGAAATTGCATGGAAGCAAAATCTCAGAGACATCCCATGTTTTTGACATACAACAATTGCCCACCAAATAGTGGACTGGGGTGGTGGATTGTTCTGACTCCGAATGGGTTTTCATTAACTTATTTGATTAGTTTGGATTGATTTTTTTGATAAATAATGACTCATGCATATTATGCTTTTTTTTTTTTCTTGGAATATCTATACTCATTTTTTGTTCTAGATTCCTGCTGACATTTAAAAGAATTTTTTAACCTGTTTAAAAAAATTGCAGCTTTAGATTTGGAGTATGCTTGCTTTTCATTTTAATCAACTGTTGCGCCAAAAACCAAAATTTCTGCTGTCTAACTATGCTCTATTTTACCAAAAAAAATTGAGAATAAATTATGCCAGTTGGGTTTTCTTGCAAATTCTTTTTCTATCTGAGATATCTTTTACGCTATTTGTGTGTTTAAGCTGGAGGCTGGCCAAGTCAAATTGCAATCAAGATTGGAAGAGGAGGAACAAGCAAAAGCTGCTCTGATGGGGAGGATCCAACGGCTGACAAAACTTATCCTCGTTTCTACAAAGAACACTATTGCGACAAACATTCCTGAAAAGGCTGGTCATCGGCGACGCCATTCATTTGGTGAAGATGAGGTACTTGAATGTGTTTTTGTAATTTCTTCCTTTTCAAAATCCTGTGCATACCATCATAGGATGCTTCAATTGATTACTTTCGGGGGTTTCCTTTCCAGGATCTCTATCAAAATTGGTGTTGACGAGATCTTCTATAAGTTTTGCATCACTCTTATTCATCTTTGGCCTTCTGTGTGAATTTACGTGTTATCTGTTCATCTTGATACAGTTGGCATACCTTCCAGATAGGAAGCGAGAATACATGGTTGATGACGACCATGTTAGCCTTGATTCAGACTTTTCAGCAGAAGGAAGACTTGAATATGGCACCCTAGAAGATCTGACTAAAGATAACAAGAAGAACAGAAGGCGTGGAATGCTTGGATGGTTCAAACCTAGGGTATCCATTTGTTTCTCTCAGATTATTATACAGATTTGTTGCTTCTTTTGTTTATATTGTTGGTGATTCTAAAAATGGTTGCATATTATTCCAAGCGCCCTTGATTTCTGCTGTTGAGGATGAGACTATGACTTGGACTAACAGGACTGATCATAATACAAATGTGTTTGGAAGTCTGTTGAAACCTGTACCTTGAACTCTAGGATTAGTTCGTTTTATTTGTTTAGGGCAATGATTTCATGCAACCGTTGTATAGTAATATGATGCAATAACCTTAAAAAACCATCTTATAGCCATTTGTTTGATCCAAATTTTAAAACATACACTTTTTTCATTCTAATGAGCAATCACAAAAACAGAAGAAATTGAAAACACAACCTAAAAAGTATTGTTTTAGCCCAATTAACATAGGCCGTTCATTTTGGTGAGATGCTTAGATCTAGGCTTTAAAAGGATTTTTTCATTTTCAATTTTTTTGGATGGGTTTATTATAGCATTAGATGAACAATGTTAAAAAAGAAAAAAATGATTTTGGGTTTATACAGGCTAGGATCTTGAAATTCACAAAATGAATGGTCTAGATTCGTTTTTGGAGGGGACTCATTTTGACAATATCTAGGGTTCAAATTGAACTTTTTTTTTTTTGGGGATTGATTATTGCGTTGAAGAGAGTGTGTGTGCAAACTTTGGGGTTATACAAATATCACAAACATGGTTTTCTAGAAGTATCGTTGCATTATACTATAATACAACCGTTGCATTATACTATAATACAACCGTTGCATTGGATCATTGCTCATTTGTTTATTATTTGTCGTGGGTATGTCAGCATGACAGTAGGAATGAGGTTAAAAATTCTGTTGGAACTTCATCAAATGAATGTCTTCCGGAATGAGGTGAAAGTCCATGATACAGTTCCATTATTGTAGTCTTCACTCTCTCTGTAGCATTTCTATCTGAAACATTGTATGAGTCATTGAAACCATGTATCTTTAAATGCTGAGCTGAAGTATGATTCTCTTTTGAGATGAAACAACACCGCAATGTGGATCACGAAGCACCTCAATTAACCAGGCTTAATTTGTACTTCGCAGGTTATGACTGGGTGTCACAACCTTATTGCCCCTTATTTTGTTATAATTTATAGTAGCAACATAGCCTATGAGTTGTAATATTGATTTCTCATCATTTTACATTTCGGAACCCTGGGCAACTGTATGTGTTTCCACCATTTCCCCCTCTCTTCATTGCTTGCTGAGTTGCTCTCAAAATCTCTTTTTCTTTTAAGGATTTGGTGGTCTTTGTAGAGTTTTCATTCATGAGGCATAATTATGAAGTGCAACAAGGTGGGATGAGCTTTATGAAACTTGTTCAAATGTCTGCTTACAGCTATATAAAAATATTGACCTGAGATACTAAAAGATTAAGCAGCTGTAATGCTAGGTCTCTTGCCCTTATATGTATATATTAAATTGCATTTTTGCAATTACTCAATGACAACTGTATTAAAGACCATAGCTTTTTCTAAAAATAATTGCTTGTGCAGAAGCAAGAGAACATTGGCGGTCTGTCTAGTAGTATCGATAGTGGGAGCTCTGCTAGTGCTTCTCCTGCATCTTGTTCTTATTCATCCCAAAGAAAGGATTTTCTTCCCGATTTGAAAGACAATAGAAGAAAGTCTATAAGTCGAAAAAGTGAAGATGCTCTGTCTATGATCGATTCATTTTCAGAACAAACGCAAGCTGGTGACTTGTTTAGTGCAACAGCTAGAGGACGTCGCCTCCCCCCTGTAAGTATATAATTTTGGCTTTTGCTATGTTTCGTTCTCAAATAAGTAAAATATAGATGCTAAAACGCTTTTGCTGAATGGGTTAGACTCTAGATTTAATCATTCTATAACAATCATTTTGTTGTAAGTTGCAACATTGTGGCACAAGTCTTATATATATATGCTTTCGTTATTCTAGGTTTAGTATCTTCACATATTGTTGCCAATTATGTGCTTGTATATATTATGAAACTCACTTTTGTGTAGGGTGGCTGGCAATGGGTTGGGCCTGGGTAGGGTCCACCGTGGGCCTAGCGTGACCTTGGCCCCTATAGGGGTAGTCGAGCCCGGCCCGGATAGGGTCGAAGAGCCCCTGTTCTTGGCCTAGCGCCGGCCTTGTCATGGTCGGCTCCAATGGACATGCAAAAAGAGGAGAAAAATCGTCATCATTACAGGCCTTTTCCCAACTATTTGGGGTCGGCTACATTAATCTTGGTCCACCATTCTGCTCTATCAAGGGCCATACCCTCAATGAGGCCATAAATTCCCATATCTTTTCTCACTACTTCCAACCATGTCCTTTTGGGCCTACCTTTTGCTCTTTTTGAGCCTTCCACTTGAACCAACTCGCATCTCCTGGCAGGTGTTGTACTAGGTCTGCGTTGCACATGGCCAGCCCACCTGAGTCTATTGTCTCTCATCTTAGTGCCTATTGGAGCTACATCTAAGTGCTCCTAAATGTATTCATTTTGAATTCTATCCCTTCTTGTCTTGCCACTCATTCATTTCGACATCCGCATCTCAGCTACGCTCATCCTATGGGAATGTTGTTTCTTGGTCGCCCACAATGAACGAAAAGTTAGCTACCTGACCGCCTAGGCGGACTTTTTCAAAAAATGCCTAGGCATTGACAAGTCAGATAGCATTAGGCGGAAGAAATTAGACGCCCGCCTAGGCGTCCAAGGCGCCTGGCTAGGCGGTTTAAAAGGCGGGTGCTTAGGCGTCACCTCAACCTTGGTGGAAATTTTTTTTGTGATGATAATAAACGTCTCTTATCTATTGGCTACATTTTAATTTATTAGATCTGGTTTCTCTCTTCTCACCTTTCTTGCTGTATTTAATGAGTGGTCTCTCACAAAGACAACTATTTCGTTGGGTTAGTTGGGTTGAGTGGCTTAGACAACAAAAATGATCCCCTCTCTCTCTCTCTCTCACTCTCATAGAGGTCTATCACTCGGTGTTAGTAGAGTCGAGTGGCCTAAACCACAAAAAGTCAAAGTCAACTGGCCTAAACCACAAAAAGTCAAAAAGAACTCAATTCTCTCCCTCTCACGATAAAAGAAGCTCTCTCTCTCTCTCTCTCTCTCTCTCTTCCAAGAGGTCTATTTCTTTGAATCACTGGGTCGAATGACACCAAAAAAAAAATAAAATAATAAAGAAACAATCTGCGCTCACTTTCTCTCTCAGAGGCCACAAAAAGTGAAAGAGACTCCTCTCTCTCTCTCTCTACACACACAAAGAACTTTCTAGGGTGTGAAGTGAAGATAAGAGTGACGTGGTGTACCCCAAACCTTGAGAAGTGCACTCGTCCTTAATCCACAAATGATCCCCCATTTCCAAGTTTCTCTCTCTAATCCACGAATGACCCCATTTGGCATACTCTCTCTCCATTTACAGTCCTTTCTCACACACATATGACCTTGGCAGAAATGGGGTTTGGGCCGCTACCTTAGCGCCTAGGCGGCCTAAACCCCCATTCCCTAGGCAGCTGCTTCCGCTTTCTTGAACATTGGTTGCCCAACATTCCGCCTCATAAAGCAAAACAGGTTTCACAACTGTCCAATAGAGCGTCTCCTTTAGCTTCATTGGTATACGATGATCACATAAAACTCCAGTTGCACATCTCCACTTCATCCACCTAGCTCTAATTCTATGTATGACACCGTCCTCATTCTCTCTATTTTCCTAGATTATCGACCGAAGATATTGAAAGTGTGGTTTTTTGGGTATTTATTGGCCGTCAATCTTAATTGCTTCCTCTTATCTACTGCTATTATTAGTAAACATACATTCTATATACTCTGTTTTAGTCTGGATAATTTTAAAACCTTTAGATTCTAGGGTATTCCTCCAAAGTTATAACTTTGTGTTGACGCCACTTCAAGTCTCATCGATCAAAACTATGCTGTCTGCGAATAACATACACCACGATACAAAGAAGAGAAAAATATAAGGGGAAAAATTGGTCAGCCCGGGCCTGCCTTGTTGTAACTCATGCCTTGTCTTGCTTGGTTCTCGAGCCATATTTTTTGGTGCAGGCCCAAAGTTTTCAGGGCCTGGCTGATGGGATGGCTAGGCCGCCCGGTCCATTGCCAACCTACTTTTGTATTGTAGATTTCACTATCCTGAGTTCTTTAACTATTGGCAATTCTACAAGAAACTCAAAAAGAAATTTACTTGGTAAAGTAATATTTTCTTTGTGCATTTGAGTAATAGCATTTTGCTAGTAAATGAGTTTTCATAGCTTGCATATTTTTTCATTAGACGTGCAAGGCACTAGGTTTGCATTTACTCGCATTCATTTAGGACAGGGCTGCCTCCTTCAAAGGGAAATGTGCATATGCACCAACCAACCACAGTGACAGCCAGCCAGCTAGCTGGAGTTCCACTTTCGATCGTCCAGTGGCAGGCAAATCCAGCCAGATATCTATTTACTTTGTTTCCCTATACCCAACCAACCAGTCGAAGAGGTGGTAGAGGCAGAGGCACTGACAGCTAGAGTAAAAATTGCATGTTCAAAAAGGAGTTATATTGAGTTCTCATTATTTCATCCCAAAAGATGTTGAAAATTAGAACTGATAAGCATAACCCCCCCCCCCCCCCCCCCACCCCTCCTTTCCCTCTCTCTCTCTGTCTTGATGGGTTATGAAGCTCTCACCTATAGTGAACAACACCTTTATTTTTGGTTCCATTCAATTCCCTAAATTGGTGTTGCACTTCGCTGGATACTGAAAAACATAGATTTGTTTCCTGATGCCCCATGGCATAGACCTGTTGACACCTATCTGCTCAATGCGTCCTATTGGGATCCGCTCAAGTTGCTTTATTCTTATTTTTTTATTATTTTTTTGCATTTCTTATTATTTTTCTGCTATTGAGGTCCATGAGGTGCACAAGTCATTTGGCTGTGGAAATCCCGAGTTCGTGAGTATTCAAGTATTGGTATAAGTTAATTGAGATTAGAGTTGGTTATAATATAATATTCCTTGATTTGATGAAACATTCAAATGGTGGTTTTTGTTTTATTCTCTCATTCTTCAGCTATGCATAGTATTGATTGTTCTTCAAGATAGGGAAATTATACTTGCTTTTTTCTGTGTTCTACAAGAATATTCTTTTCAAATGGGCATGTAGGGTTTTTGCTTTTTTCATATAATGCAAAGGTAATTCTGATGTGATTATTCAGACTGAGTCAATGAGATATTATATTTCTATAAAAAATTGTGAAATCTTGATTCACGTATTGCTTACCATGTAACCCCCATTGTCCCAACTCCCAACTAGATCACCATAAAGCATCATTATGTTCTATTAATCTTAGTGGACCTTTATTCTTGTAGTGCTTCTAGAGCATAGAATTTTCCTTGATATCCTTGGAATAACTCGTAGAAAACAGGACTAATACAATGGTGCTACCCCTAGCTACCTCTTAGAAGACCAATATCACAAAAGAAGCATGTCTAGTGGTTTAGTGGCCTTTTTCAAATCCTCCTGTGGAAGCTACATTCCAATGCTAAATGGTCTGCCATATTAATCAGTCTCTCTGCCAAAAAAACCCACATTGGGGAGCTCACATCATCTCTTTTGGGCATCATCTGTAGCATAAATTCGGTTTTCATCTAATTAGCTTATTTTCATTGCTTAATTGAACTATGGAGTGGCCTTCTAATGTAGGAAACTTGAAGAAACGTAAAAATATCAGCAAGAAAGCACCTTGACACAAGCAATTTTGTAGAAACCCTAAAGGCCTTCTTCCACCTAAGGTTCAAGCCTCAGGCTTTTTTTTAAGACAAAGTCTTTTTCTTTTCTTAAAGAGGAATACATTGCCAGCTCATCCATGCTCTTATTTATATTGGAAAGTTATTGTTTTGTTCAATATTTGTCAATACAATTAGCTTTTGACTAAAAGGTCGTAACTTAAGTATAACTTGAAACTAAACTCCCTAACTTTAATTAAACTATCTAAAAAGTCCCTCTAGCAATTAAATAAATAAATAAAACATTTGAAATGTGCCTCAAAAGCTAAAAAAAACATTCAAACTATTTTTTACTCTTCTTATTTTTCTTGAAAGCCCTCTTAGGGTTTTCATCCTCCAAATGTGAGCGAAAATTAGGATGAATCTGTTGCTACCAAAGAAGATACCCATGGCTACTTGTTGTGCTCTGATCACCATCATCACATTTTTTTATTCTTCATATGTAACTTGTTGGGGTTATGCAGCCTTAAAGGCCTTATGAGAATATGTAAAACTATGACTATGGCGATATGTTGGCTCCAGTGGGATTCTGGTCTAGATTGGACTAACTGGGGGTTATCCCTTGATGAGGTTGGAGTAGTGCCCAAGGTGGTTGGTTTGGGGATCCCTGTGTGTGATGGTTGGCTTGAGAGGACAAAGGCCAAAATCCTCATCATTACCATCTCATGATATGTACACTAGATAGTCGTCTGGGAAGCAGCCCTTCGAATGAGAGTGTGTGTTGTGTACATGTGCCGAAGAGATGACTTCCTACAACACTGGAATTTGGTGGAAGGGACCCATATGGTATCATGCTATAATGGGGCTTAAACTTGTCCTTAAGTAGGGATTTGTAATCCACGGACTAGGATTGTGTCTCCTTCATTTATTGGCTGTCTTTGATAGTCCAATCATGACTCCTTTGAAGGGCTGTGGGTCATGAGAACAATTGGGTCAATTTGAGAAGATGTATTGAGATGCGGTTTCTAGAAAGGATGGAGTCCTCAATATATTTGTTATATTCCTAACTCTATGAATTCAATTCCCATCAAATCTTTTTAAATATGTTTAAATATGGTTTAATTATATTTTAGATAATTAAAATGAATTTTTATCTCTCTGGATATTTAACTTTATTAAAAAAGGATTTTTAAATAAGAAAAAATCATTTTTCTGGATTTATTTAATTTAGAGAGGAAAATAAAATATTTAATGGATTATAAAAATATTTTTATTATTCTAAAATATAATATAGGGTGTGGGGGCCCATTGGGACTTTGGGCCCACCACATATAATACAACTAGTAGGGGCGTGGAGCCCGCATGGCTATCCATGTGTGGGGTGCCGCACTTCCTCTTCTTTCTTATTTTGAGTGGGTTGTGTTGTAAGCCATCCACATGTTTTAAAATAAAGGAAAAAGGTTATATGAGGTTGCAACCTTAGAATTAAGGTGCACCTAAGAAATCCATCATAAAAGGTTTTTTGAAGTTGGAAACCATCCTAATTGATCATCTCAACATCGAGATGTATGAATATTAAAAAAAAAACGATTTTGAATCCAAAAATACACCCATTTTCAAGATTTTCATATGTTTACAGATCTACTTGATTTGAACCATTTTTGGGGTCCAAGAGTTTATGATTAGAGATGGAAATGGATTCTCAAGCCGTCTTAAGAATTTTCAATACCAAAATTATATTTATAATAAAATTTGGTGGTGCACCTTACGTTGATTGTTAAGGTTGCAACCTTATACAAACCACACCCTAAAATAAAAGGAAAGTATTATAAAATAGATTTGATTGATTTATGAGCAAGTGTAGAGATTGGTTGAAATTTGATTTGCAAAAACATAGTATTTTCTCTACACAATTTTTGATGGGAAACTGAGGGATAATGGTTGCATTTCATTCTTTTTAATCATGCTGATCTAAGAAATGAATGGATGTGATCTCTTCACTATACAGGTCTCCATAATCCAAGGTCTAGATTGAGTTTCATAATGAACCCGAGCCACTATTCTATATGTACTCTCTTTGGGGGTTCAATCTCTACAACTTGAATTCTCTCTCTCTTTCTTTCTCTAAACCCTAAAGGCAGCCACGTCCCACTCTCTCTCTATTTCTCTCTCACTAGTTAGGGTTTTCAATTTTTTTAGAAGCTAGAAACCCTAAAAGGGGCCATGCCCAATCCACAAGGGTGGCATGCCCCAAGCCTAGGTACTCATGCTTTTGATTCTGTGTTAAGCCTTGGTCAAGCCTTATCCCATGTCGTGCTCTGAAGAGGTTTTGCCAAGGCTTTTCGAGTTATGTAATGAGGCTCGACCGAGATCCCATGCACCATTGGTGGAGGAGATCCCGTGTAGGGTCTATGAAGTCCTTGGCGGTAATTTGAGGCAAGGTATGCGGTATTTTCTTATTTCTTGAGTTTATTCAAAGTGTTATGTAATTTCAGATTTATGTTTTGAATGTAAATTGTTTTGATGGCAAGTAAGTGAGAGTCCTTGACATTCTTTGTGGTTTTTATTGGTTTATATATTGTATTTGGATACTTATAAGTGATCCGGAAATAAAAATTTTAATCGGTATTTACTTGCCCGGTTCATAACTAGCGTATTTATAGTCTCTTCTAGTATAAAATTGCATATGATTGTGAATTTGTACTTATTAAATTGTACTCACGACTTACCCATAGAAATATAAGAAAGAAATAATGTCTCATTGCTTTATTATCATATAATTGTTAATTTTTCGCACATTTTATTTGTATCGTTTGTAGTTCTTAGAGTCATATGTGATCATCTAAGAGATTTTGGTTGTTTTTGTTCTCTTTGTTTTGGACTTGTGTCCTGATTTTACCTTTTATAATGTAATTAGTTACTTTTTTCACCCTTGTGCTCCAAAGGGAAGTTTTTCTTAACTCTCATTCCTCGATATATGTATGTATTTGTGATCAAGGTTGGAAATGGTACTGCAGTATCTTAAATAAGAATGATTTCTCCAAAAAGCGAATGTAGAATCCGGTATTCTCTGAGCTGCTTCTGCTTTAGAAGCATCCTGCAACATGTCCAAATCTGAATGTCTTGGAGATTCCAGCTCTTTAATATGTATTCATATAAGGGTGTGGTTTCCATAAGGTTGCAACCTTAAACAATCCAACTAAGGTGCACTTTCAAATTTTATCATAATATATAATTTTGATGTAAAATGTTCTTAGGATTATCTGAAAATCTATATTCATATATAATTATTAAATTTTAAATTCCAAAAATGGTTAAAATCAAGTAGATCTATAAACATATGAAAATCTTGAAAATGGACGGTGTATATAATATGTTGTAAGATGCACTATTTATGAGACTCAAAATCTTTTTATTTTTCATAATCATACATCTCGATGTCGAGATGATCAATCATAGGGTTTTTCAACATTAAAATAACCTTTTCCGATGGATTGTTGAGGTGTATCTGTAGTTCTACATTTTAAGGTTGCAACCTTATATAAACTTTTTCCTTCATGTGAAGTTCATCACTCTTACTTATGTATGTGTACTAATAAACTTGCCACATAATTGTAGGCTGCTCTCATCCATATTTAATGTCTTTATTGGACATAGAAGTCCAATGATTCCTAACTCAAGGAAATTAAAACAAAAGTTAAGTTGACTAATAGAATATTGAGACCTACATGTGGTATCTCTGTCCTTTGCAGACTGGGACAACTATTACAGACCAGATGGATCTTCTCCGAGAGCAGGTTAAGATGCTGGCAGGGGAGGTAGCATTGTGTAAGAGTGCCATGAAACGATTATCAGAGCAGGCAGCAGCAAATCCAGAAGATTTGCAACTTCTGGTGTGTAAATTTGTTATCAAAAGTGATATTTGCAGGATAAATTTGCCATTATCAATAATGTTATCTGGAGGATTAATTGGTTGTACCCTTACGTTACAGGAACAAATACAAAAGCTAAGATATGATATCAATGAAAAGAAACACCAAATGCATGTTCTTGAGCAGCGTATGATTGGTTCTATTGAAGCTACTCCACGATCAGCTAATACCAGTGGTGAACTGTCTCAGGTTACTTATCTTCTTAGTTGTATGTAATGTTCCAAGTCAATCGCATTTGTGTATTATCCAGAGGATTTTTCTTTTGTCTCTTGATGATTAAGGATATCCCATCTGGTTCTTGATTCACAATGGGATTTGATTCCTAGTATATGTATCTTAGGATCTGTTTGGAATGCTTCTCTATTGTGGTTTGGGGTTTGGACAATGATATCTTAGGCTGCTCACTTGCTCTCTGCACTCTGAATAAAGAGGCGTCTGGATGCCTCTACAAAACAATCATTGACTAGCAAAACGTTGCCTATTTAGTGAACTGGATATAATTATTTTACATCATTCCAACCCATACACATTTTTGGAGGGTAGATCATTGCAAAATGATGGGATTTAGGGAATAGGTCATGTATGTAACTGGTTATGGTTTCGGCTATAATTTATCTCTAATTACTTTATCTTGCTCTCAAATTGCTCTTTTTTATTGTGATAAATCTGTCATTCCTTACTACCGTCTGATACTTCTTTGCAGACCCTCTCAAAGTTGACTACTCAGTTGAATGAAAAAACTTTCGAACTTGAGGTATGTGTGTATTGCGGTGAACAGAAATTTGAGATTTTACAGTTTCCATGGTTATGATTGAAATTTAATTTGTCCTGTGATGTTTTGTTTTTTTGAAGATTAAATCAGCAGACAACAGGATCCTTCAAGAGCAGCTACAAATGAAGGTGAAGTATGTTATACCCTTTGTTTCTGTTATATGCTGGCTAATAGCACTTATCATTCACTGACATTTTTCTCTGCTGAATCAGTTATCTGAAAATGCAGAAATGCAGGAGACTATTCTTCTCCTGAGACAACAGCTTAGTTCTGTGTCCGTTAAAAGCTGCAATCAACTAGTACAAAACAATTCCATGACTGAGGCTTCTAAAGAAATTGGTGGGTGGCCAGACATGAATGGTGGTGCATCTGATGAGACTTGTCTTGATGGAAATACACCTACAAGCCTGTCAAGTTTGCCAAGCCTATTTTCACAGGAAGATTATAAAGACTATAAAGGAGGCAATGCTGATACAAATCTACAATCTCAACTTCTTCTTCAGGTCATTGGCTAGGATTTGTCAATTAGGCTTTTGGTTTTGCTATTCAAAATTTAAGTTTTACCAAAATGGTTTACGTTCATTTGGTATTTTGGATTGGAGCTTTTCCTTGATAAAATAAATTCCATATGATTCAGGCTGCTGAAATAGAGAATCTAAAGCAAGAAAAAGTTAGACTCATGGAAGAGAAGGATGGACTAGAAATTCATAGCCAGAAATTGGCAGAAGAAGCATCTTATGCCAAGGAGTTGGCTTCCGCTGCAGCTGTTGAACTTAGAAACCTGGCTGAGGAAGTCACAAAACTTTCTTACCAAAATGCGAAGCTGACTGCTGATTTGGCTGCAGCAAATGATCTTGCACATCATAAAGCTGATTCCTTCCAGAGGCCTCTCCTTGATAATAGGAAGCGAGAGCTTAGCAGTGGTGACCCTTGCTTAAGAGAATCTGAAAATGAAGTTTTGATCAAGTTACAGAAGGAGCTTGAATCAAGATGTCAATGGGAAAAGTCACTGGAGGCTACTTTATCTGAGAAAAACAGAAAAGAAGAAGAGTTACTCAAAAGAATAGAGGAGGCAAAACATCAAGAAGAAGATTTAGAAAATGAGCTTGCAAATATGTGGGTCCTTGTTGCAAAATTGAGGAAGTCTGATGCCACAAGTAATGATTTTCCAGTGGAAGGGATGGATGCCTCTTATTCATCGAAAAGCATGGCACACAAAGGTTTATCAATGTCTAACGGCTATGCTTGTAAAAATTCTGTGGGAAATGATACTAGCAAGGTAAGGGACGATCTTAACACCATTGAAGAATTGAGCATTTCATATGAGAATGAAAAGAGAAAATGCAAAGAGCTAGAAATTCTCGTCTCCAGGATCAAGGTATGGCCCTAAAACTGCTAGATTGGAGATTTTTTTACTTTGTAATGCTTGCAACCAAATGATTTATCAAAAGAACAAAATACTTCCAACAGAATTACGGATTTTCACTGTATGCTACCTCTCCTTATATGCCACAGAAGCAGTTGATAAGAAGATCCCCACAGTGTTTACTCAAAAGCATCTCATTGTGATTAGGCTAATGATTGGTTGTCAATGTCTGCATGTGCTCATGTTTTTCATAGAACTGGACTTTGCAGTGCAAAAGCATGCATATCATCTTCTGCACATTTCCACTTGATGTCTACTTGGATATTGCTTATACAGATGTACTGATGCATGGGAACCTCATAAGCATTGCCATATGAGGACATATTTATATGTGATGTTCGTTACATCTCTAGTGATGCCTGCACGAAAAATTAATGTATTCCCTTATTGTTATGGCACATTTCTGCCGATCATCAATTCATCATCATTGTCATCATCAAAGCCTTATTCGAACTATTGGGATTGGCTATGATGTGGCAAAAGTTTTCCCCTGGAAGAGTTACATATCTACCAATCAAATAAATAATAGTAATAATAATTATAAAAAAAACATGCATGTATCACTTGACTATTTTATAGATATGCATAAAAAAGTGGAATGCTTGTTTTAAATATTTGGTCATTCATCCTTTTATTGCAGGGTGAAGATCTCACTGGTCTAGATATTACTTCTCTTGAAGCATTGCAAAGCCTCCATGTTGAAGCAATTACAAAAATCTGCCATACAAAGGTGGCTCTTTAGTTTGGTGTTTTGCTTTGTTCATTGAAATTTATTTTCTCATGACTTCACTTTTCATATAGTCTCGAATCATTTCTTCAAATGCTTTTGATTTTATAGCAAAATATATGATCTGTACTGTAACATTCCTGTGGTTTCTTCAAAACATGGTTTCCTTTTCTGTTAAGGCTTCTTTTAAAAGCTGACTGTAATGATCATTATTGGAAATAACATGATGACGGCAAACATTTGTATTAAAATGTCGCATGCCTTGGTTAAACATTATCCTAGAATTATCTGTTGCTATTTTTGATGTTATTTAATACTTTAGTTAACATTCAAAGATTTAAATTCTGATTTAATTCGTGGGAATTATGATTTTTTTTCCCCACCATCACCCCCTTTAATGGGTCCAGTTGTTAATAAAGTATTTGATTATGAAAGTGAAGCATTGGATTATGATAATGAGATGGATGAAGTAGGCTCAGGGAGAAGGGAGAGGAAGGAAAGGAGATAGCATGATGGAGGCTAAAGGCTACACTGGTATTCTTGCTTCATTGGGAATCTTATGCATTCACAGAACTCCGCTTGGGATTTTCTATGGAACCTCGACATTTTCCCTAAACAACAGAGAAGGATGACCGGGTCCTTTTTCTTGAACAACTTCTACCTTATCACTTATAAGTCCATCAACCTACTATTAACCCAAACAATATACCCAAAGGAAAATGTATATACTTACTTCGAGAACTCAAACATATACACATATAACGTTTCTATGGACATTTGACATTTTCCCTAAACAACAGAGAAGGATAACCAGGTCCTTTTTCTCGAACAACTTCTACCTTATTACTTATAAGTCCATCAACATCCTACATTAACCCAAACATACACAAAGACAAATGCATGTCCTTACTTCAAGAACTCAAATATATACACATAACATTTCTGTGTGTATCTTGAGCTCTTGTTTCTCTAGAACTTTGCTAGGTCTCTCTCTCTTTCTATCAATCCCCCCCCTCCCCGCTCACCCAAAAAAAAAATAAAAATAAAGGGTGCAAACCGAACCCTCCCAACTTGGTCTGGGAAGATCTTAGAGCCTTTTTTTTCTTGTCTTTTTGTAACTTTTTTTTTTCTTTAATGATTAGTTGTCATTTCATTAGTTTGAAATTGTTAAACATGCATAAGCTCTTTTGAGCTCTGCCGTGGTCATTACCTAACTTTATTCTGACAAACTATACTGGATGCTGTCATGGTCATTGCCTACCTTTGGTTTCTTCTCGGAAATCCCATTCCTTTTTTTGCTCAATTCATGTTTTAGCATTTAATTCACGTAAAACAATCTTCTTCCATGTCAAGGATGAAAGTAGTAGCTTATCATTGGGCTCAAGGTGGTCCCACACTTGGCCTTTCTCATTTTAGATGTTAGTTTCATTCACTTTTGTTTGTTACCAAATTTCTATTTGAATGCAAAAGTCCCTTGATCTTGTTCTCCTGAAGTGAAATTTAAACATTCTATTGGGAGTGACTTACATATGGACCTTAAAATTTTAAATAAATTACGAAATGCTCCACTTAAATGCGGAAATTACAAAGGTCGGCCAACCAACTTTTTTATTTTTTTTAAAATTGCCCCTTGTTCAGCTAAAGTTTTGATTTTTTTTTAGTTTTTTATTATAAAAAACAAACTGGTTGACTGACCTTTTTTGTAATTTCCACATATAAGTGGAGCATTTTGTATTTTACCTAAAAGTTTAGGGTGCGTACGTAAATCATTCTTCTAGTGGAATGGGCTTGGGGCATCGGTGGTTGGGGGGCAGATGCCTCAACATAATGTTCCACCCTCCATTCCCATTTTTAACATATAAAAAGAAAAAAGAAAAAAAAAGACATGCTATTAAGAGAAACTAAGCGCTAACAGATAACTTATCCAATTTACATTCACTCTTGTGTTGTGCAGGACATGTATGGTTTTGTAGCACGCTTTAGTCAGAGAATTAGCTGTGTTTTTCTGCCGTTCTGTGAAATGTTTCCTATTATATGAGTTTCACCATTTCAAACAGATACTTCTTGCTTTAACATCAATTCTAAATAATGTAAAAGTGTTAATTATTCATTTGGAATATTGTTTTTCATTTTGCTAGGACTGACTATTGTTGTTGCATTATGGAAAGTTAAGTATGATTTCTTATAGTTTATAAGACAACTTATCATACTCTTTTTGTTCACCAAACATTATTATACTCTCTAATGATGTTGTCTATAATTTGTAGTGCATAAACCATCTCTTGTGACCTGTACAGATCTCCTGACATAAACCTTATGATGTAGAGTTCTCTATCACTTTTAAAGGTCAGTTAGCAACTAATTCTTTCAGTTTTATTCTCAAGCATCATTTTCTGTTGTTTCATGCTTGCAATTACCCTAAAGGATGTTGTTTAGTGGTAAATAAACCTTTTACACTACTTGTTGCACTTTAAGTTTGGTCTATGTGGTGGTCGCACACATGACATGCACATGTGCATAGCTAAGCACTCGGATAGATAGATATACATGCGATACACATGGCAATTATTAGATAGGAAGTTCCCAAGATCTCCCAACATAAGTGGCGTTCCACTCCAGAATCTCTCTTTAGCACTCCGGGAAAGGGATCTTCATGGGATCTCAACTTTTAAAATTTGGGATCTCGATCCTCATTGTTAGGGATCCCAGTTCCTACTATTAGAGATGTCGATCCGAACCCTAAAGACTCACATGACAACTATACATACCCTTTAAGGTTGTGAGCAAAATCCGCAAAAGATTTGGATCTTGATCTCTAACATTTGGGGATCCCTAAAATTTCACAATCCCTCTCTATGCGATCCTGATCTCGCTTCCAATCCCAACAACTATGTGGGACGGCCCTCTGATGGATTATGCTAGATCTTTCCATGAGATCTAATAATTTTCCGATCCTGATGTCCTAGATCTAACTTTTGAGGAGTTCCTATAATAATTGGAGGGAGGGTCCTCCCAGTTATTCATGGCCCATATCTCTATGCGTGCGTGTGTGTATGTGTGCATGCGTGTGTCTTTTCTATTTTTTTTGAGAATGTTAACAGTTTGTATTAAGGGGAATATGATTACAAAAAATTGCTTCCTGGATTGGAAGCTATTTATAACAAAAATTGGCTCACTGCAAAGTGGGTGCTCTGTACAAAACCACCTTAGGTGGGAGAGAGAACAAGAAATGGTAGCCATAGCGGAGGTCTATGGAGTGACTAAGTCTTATAAATTCCAGTTAATCACTAGCAGTTATTGCCCCAGCTTTGGCTATAGTATCCCCATCTCTCCCACCAAACGTTTTTCCAATAAAGTGGGAAAACCCTGGTAAGGTGGGAAATTTCGTCGAGAATGTGTATCAGGTACCAGGGACATGCTTTGGAGCCCAGGGATTACATTCCGTGAGTCACCTTTGATCACCAAGCCAGGGCTCCACGAGGGGTCGAAGAGTTTAGGGCCTTCAAGATGAGCAAGAGCCTCTGCTGTTTGAGCATCTGCATGGCCGATGTTGCCTTCATAATTCCGGAAGAGGCCTCCAATTCCTGTGGGTTCAGGATTGCCTAGTGAACAACCATCAAAATTGAATTTAACTAAGCCAAGGTCAGGTGGTCTCCAAAGAGTGGTGCGAGAGATATGGTACTGATTGAGGTGAAGCAAGGCCCGCCAGTCCTAATGAAAGGCCGATGGGGGAAAACATTTGAAGGTGGAGTGATTTGAAGCCCAAAAAACTATCATTGCTTTGAGTTTTTCGAATAAGGCTGCCGCAGAAGAGCAATCTTCTCGGAAGATCCTACTGTTGCGTTCGATCTAGAGCATCCAAAGTAAGGCTGCCACTGAGGCCTTCTAAAGCAGGATACTTGATTTGGCCCAGGGGTAGGGGTGGAGAGTGGAGAAGACGAGGGGGATAGAGCGAGGGGTGACCAATTGCTGTTTGTCTTCTCTATTAGATGTAAAATTGTTGCATAGACCTAATACCTTTATTCGGAAGTGAAAATTTGAATTATGAATCTATTACTTGTGATCATTTTAATGAAAATCGTGTTATGGATGGCTGTTTTCTCTTGTTGAGAAATCTGTGGTAGAATCAAAATAAGATCAACTGTCAAGCCCAATGGTGGGAATAAAAAGTACATAGAAGTGAAACTGAAATTATTTAGGGCTAATTTGGATGTTAACTAAGAATAGCTCATCATCCAAAAAACTTAAGTTCCTGGGAAAATTTTGGAGTTTCTCTTCATGTCTTATGTTGTTTGGATGTTTTAAATGACTTTTTTTCTATGGCTGTGCCCATTTTTCTATTGTGCGGTGACAGACTCCCCTACTGTGTGTGTTTGTGCGCCTGTGCGTGTGCGTGCGTCCATGCGTGCCTGTGCGTGTCCGTGTGCATGTGCGTCTCTCTCTCTCTCTCAATCTACACAAGAAAATGCCATCTCCAATCCAAACCACCAAGGTTGTCATCCAACAAAGGTATGTCTCAAACCCTCGTCAAAGCCCATCTGCCATAGGTCCTCTTTCTAAGGTTTTTCCTCCAATCCTCCACCGTTTTAGGGCATAGGCATCACAATTCATCTGTCCGTGTGACCCTAATCCTATTTTCTCTCCGTTCATCTGAAACAGCAAAGGAAAGCAGTAGAAACAGCTAGGATTCTCACTAGATTGGGTCTATGCATGTGGGTCTTTGAATGGTCCTACATTTCATAATATTTCATATTATATTGAGGTTCTAAATTGCAAACTTTAAAATTGAATACATAATAGAAATATAGCATTCAGTTAACAATTTAAAAAAAAAATAGAAATATAGTGTGAGAGCTCTCACCCTTGCATCTACCTCAAGTCGTATTGGACCAAGAGCAAGTCATTAAAGCCCCTTATGCTCCAATTTGTTTTACCTGTTTGTGTGCATGTTTTGAAACACACTCCAATTCCGTTGCTTCCACTTGTGCTTCAAGTTTGGCTAGGAATAAGAGCGATAAACTTTTGAAGGTTGGAAACATCCCCCCAAATCATTACCACTATTTAGTTGAACTTGAATGGTAAAAATATCGAAAACAACATGATGAGATATTATTGTTTGTATTAGACTGAGGATAAGAATTGAATTAATAAAATGAATCAGGTTATGATCACATGTCCTCGTGGTCATCTTTCTACCAAAATCTTGCTGCGCCTCCTCATATAAGTTCATTCCTCCGCATTCGTCCCTTGCATATGTCTGTTAAGATACAGCATCTCACAGTGCATAAGCCCTTCGAATCTCAGGATGGGTTGAGAACATGGCTTTTGTTGTATAAGAATTTAGGGCCGAGTCTTTAAGCAACTGCATGTATGGGGTGATACAGCTGACTATCCATCTCTTATCTTTAATCTTCAAATAGTCCTTGTACTTGGAATTCTTGTGCTTAAAAGTTGCAATAGCATCCTTTACCCTATCCATTACCTCGTCGATATAATCCATGGCTGGCCTAGAATCTTTATAAACAATGTTTAATACCGTCACCAGGGGCTGTGTCACTCAAATTATGTTAGCAACAAAGGTCCAAAATTGGCTACTCAACCCAGTCTACTTTCCCACCAATGTCTCTTCTTGGCTCATATATGATCCAGCCAAACACTTGAGGATCAGGATTCTAAAGGCATCCTTTGCTGCTCACTACTTTGTAATATGAGGAAATTAGTTGCAAATCTTCTAGTTACTGGCCTCACTAACTCCCTTCAGTTTCTGTGCTTTCTCATAAGATTGAAGACAAAGTACTGATTGTAGATAAATTTTATTATATCTTTTGCCTTTTCTAGAACCAAATGAGCATCTGACATCTTCTTTTCATTCTCAACCATCAAATAAATATAATGGCGGCACAGAAAGTCCAAAAAAATAGGGATACCTCTCTGGCAGCAACTTGACACCAAAGGGACTAGTTGGCCGCATATCAGTAAAAAGTTGGACGACATGCTATGGCCCCAGTTCCTCAAGAATCTCCTTAAACAATCCAAATAGTGTCTCATTTGTCTTGATTGAAAAACACAAGGAAAAAAAAAAAACTAAACAACTGCTCATTTCTCCGGTTGGTCTTCCCACAAGCCATGATGGAGCAATCCATGATCGGCCCATATGTCACTGCAAGTTTCAATTTATCCCTTAACCTCTTACACATTCCTTTTCAACAACAATTTCCTGCTATTGTGGAAGTCTGGGCCTTTATACATGGGCCTATAGATGTTGCTGCATCCAACTAGACAGTGTGCCGTTTTTCTTGCCTTTCTCCCAAACCACACACTTTTGATGGTTGGTTGGGAACTTGATGTTGTCCTAGATAGGAAATAACCTCCTACCACACATTGCCTTTTAAGCTTGCTAGGAGCACTCACAACAGATTCTTTCCCTACTTATCCTCCTAGATTGCTCTTCAGATTGGGGGTCGTCTTCGGTTGTATCAAAAGTCCCCGTAGGTTTTGGGTAGGGTTCCCAATCTCATTAGTAATTACTTGCCGTTTTTGCATTTGAATCATGATTCCATGTTTTTCCACATGTTGTGCATGAAATGAGGAGGAACTTTAGGGCATTTGGTTACATTCCCAGCCTCGAGTCAAATGCTCCTTATCCCATCGTATGCCCACTCCCTTTATTATCTCTTTTTTATAATATATGCATAGATTCCCATATTCTCTCCATTCACTACCCCATCCGCATACCCTCATGTCACATCTGATTTTTCTTTTTTAGAACCACTAGTATTTATGATTCCTAATTCAATCTCCAAACTCAAATACCTGATCAATTAATCACCAATTACCACCGAAATCTCCTAGTCCCTCTCCTATACCAAACCACCAATTGTACAACCAATGGCCTATTAATCCCAAATCATCAATCATCTAACAAAATCATCATCATCTGAGCCTTATTCCACCAAAATAAATTACCATTCACCATTCATTGTTCACACTTCACAGTCACATTTAAAACGAATCACCAACCAAAATAAAAAAAGATACACAAACGCATACCAATTGGTCATTGCAAACTTTTAATTTGTATTGGAACTTTTTAATTAACAAACCGTATCATCACAAAATCCTACATGACTAAAAAATAAGAATAAAACAATAAAAATGCCTCTTGTTTTCCTCCAAAATATGTAGCAAAAAACCTGCAAATATTGTATTGATTTTGTAAAGGGGCGAGCGTAGTGGAGGGATGGGAGGAGGGAGGCAGCGAGGGAGGGATGGAAGCATTGGCCATTGGGTGTGTAGAGTCATCCTAGGCCACTGCGTGTGTTGAGTCTGCATGGGATGTCGAGAAA